ATCAATCAAGATTCAACTCTTTCCGATGATCCTTTGTACTAAAAATTTCTAACTTATTTTTTTAAAAAATATACAATAAACTTTGTAGAAATATAAGAGCAACAATGCAGAGAAGTATAAGATAGCACCTGTTATTTAGAGATAGTTCTCATATGCTATCTGCTAATAGGTTTAGAGTTTATCACTTACTGCAATATTATAGTGGTACTTGTTATTTAGAAGTAGTTCTCATATGCTACTTGCTGACAAGCTTAGAGTTTATTACTCATCTACAGAAGATAAGTACTGGTTATACTCTAGATGAATACAAGTGGATAATAGATTTTGGAAAATATATACTCTCCTTAAATTTTTTGGCACTACTACTGTTTCCCTCTGGACCTTTAGATTTCTTTATACTGAAAATAAAAAAGTAGAGGATTTGGTGAACTCCTGACAAAGAATCTGCAAGTTTATACTACTTTCTAATTCAGCAAGTCATCTGTTAATATACAACTTAGACAAGACAACAAATATGTACATTACTATTACGTAGATGATTCAATTAGAATTTAACTTCTAGAGAAGTTTATTGCTAGAGATATATATTCTTGTTTTTGTATAGCATAATATTTTTATATTTTGTCATACTCTTTTTTCTTTATGTTAATTAGAGTATTTATTTCTTTTTCTTTTTCCTTTACTTTTTTATTTATAAGGGTTTTTTAATCTGGTAGCAGATTTTTCTCTTACAAGTTTAGTTCATATTATTAGCTACATTTCATTATATGTAACAATTTTTATTTTTAATATAAACTAGATATTAATAGTTTGTAATTTAGTTTTGATTAGATTAGAAGCAACCTAGGATCTTGATAAGGCAAAAAAGAACCTATTGTTGATCTGAAAAAACTATCCTATTTAGATAAGACACTTTTTAGAGAGATAAATACTTTTTGTAGTTGATTGTATCTGAGTAGCATAAGGCAAGCCAAGTGAATCTGAGATTGCAAGAGTAGAATATATTAGTAGTTTAAAACACTAGTTTTTTTCTTATTTTTGTATTATGATTTCTTTAAAATCTTTCACTAATAAACCAAGAGTAAAGTCACCTAAGTTAAAAAAAAAAAAAAAATTTATAATTTAGGCTAGTAGTAACCTTCTATAGATAGTAATTAGATAGCATATTTATTTATACATCTAACTATAAGAGGAAAATGCTGCAGCAGCAGATCACATTTGAGTACAAAATAGATAGCTGAATGAGTTCAGAATTGCAACAAAGAAGGTAGTCTAAAAATTAGAATAGTTTTAATTTTTTGTATTAGTCTAAATATCTATAAGGTAATTCTCTTAATAAAATGAAAGGCAAGATCATCTAAGTTAAAAAAAAAAAAAAAAAAAAAAAAAAAATTATAATTCCTAACTTTTTTATACATGTTACTCTGGTTACATTAGTAAAAAAATCTAAAATATCAATATAGTGAGTTATATTGACATTTTATATTAAATTTTTGAAAAATTATCAGTATAGAAAGATTATACTATGGTGTCATTATATCTAGATATCAGTATAACCAGAGTAACATGTATATAAATATTATTAATTTTATTATATAAAATTACTAATTTTTTATATAGTGAACTAATTTAAATAGGTAATTTTCTTTTTATTATAAATTTTTTTTACATAATAATCATAGTTGAAATTTTACAAGTTTATGCACTAAGGTTATACCAAAATACTTGTATAGTAATACAAAAAAATACTTAATTATGATTGGTTAATTTAGAAATATATTAAAAATTTTTAATTTTTTAATTTTTTTTTTTAAAAATTAACTTTGAGATTTTTTTAAACAATATATAATCAAAAATTAATTTAATTTTTTTTTATAAATATATTCTATAAATCTTCAAATATTAAATATATTTATTTAATTATAAATTAATATGTAAAATTTTGTGTAATTACATTTTAATTCAAATATATCAAGTTGGTATATCATGCTTAATGAGATGACCAATACCCTTCAAATTATTTTATTTGTTTACATTAATTTAGCCCATGAGTATCAAGATGATTTGCTAATATTAATTATTAGAATTAAAATCATGAAATACTTATTTATAAATACTTAATTTAAATAGAAAAAGATTTACTTTGGATTAGGTACTGTCTCTGCTGTATAACAGACTTACCAATTGTTAGTATCATTAGTATTTAGCATTGTAATATGCTACTTTCCCATTCCTGGTTTCGCACGACAACATTGCATAGCTACTTATGTAGTATGTATTGAATCTTAACTGTTCCTACTACGTTATGTTAAGATCATTTGAGAATATTAATTATTTTGTTCTAACTGAATATATATATACTGTAAATGTTTATTCTAAGATGTAGCAGTAAAAAAAAAGCATACTATTAAATTCGATAAAATTACTAAATTAGAATGTTTTTTGTAATAAATTTTGTTAGTAAAAAGAATTTAAAAAAATTAAGTGTAAATGGTAATTTAAAATAGTCTACGTAAATATTAAGTATTATTAATTTACTTACTCGAACAGAGAAAACACATGCTAGTAATATCGTACGATCCTTTAAATTATATGAAAATTTATAAGAATAGACAATATGTTAATTGTTTTTATATTATAAAATTTATTACAAAATCGTATGATTTTAATTTCGTAAAAGGAGCTTAAAATTTAAAATAGCCCCTCAATTACCCATTTTTGCATTTATAAATATTTTTTTAGTTCTTTATACAGTTTTAACATTAATATTATTAATATTCAAAATAAATTACAATCATCCTTTTTCTATAATATATTGTTAATTCTAAATCAAAAAATTACAATCATCCTTTTTCTATTCTAGATTGTCAATTCTAAATTAAAGAATTCTAAATCAAAGAATTACAATGGTTAAATCATGAGCATGTCTGAAGTATACTTACTAAAAATACCCTTATAAAAATCTTGTAATAGTATCTAGCACTGTATTCATTATAATGATGCCTGACGAATGACGTAACCTTACATCACTGACGAATGACGAAACCATTTCATCAGGCAACTTCGAATTGACGAATGACGAATGACGTAACTCGTGATGAATGACGTAACTCATGACAAATGACGTAACTCATGACGAAACTCATTGGAATAATAAATTTTATATGTGACGAGGAAATAATTGGTTGCACGTGATTATACGGTCCCATGGGGTATAAGGCTTTTTAAAATCGATACTTATTTGACTAATCTCATAACTTATTTCAGCATCCACCGATGCTGAAATATAATCTTCATTTATAATTGCATCATTAATAAATTAATTATTTAAACCCAGTTTATTTTCCGACGGCCTCTAGTTGCCGTTGGAGAATGAACATATATAGGAGTTATTGGTATTATTGATTTGGTCCAGAGTTTGTAAGTATTTAAAAATATACTAAAGTCCTATAATTTATTAATGTATACTGCTAAAAATAGCTATTCTGTCTTTGTTTCACTGTGAAAATGGGTAAATCGGTAATAAGGATATGCAATGTGACGTAAGATTATAAGGCTATTTGAGAGTCTATTGTGGCTTATTAGTAAAATCGATGATGTGAGCAAAATCAAATAAATAGGAGGTTCGATCCTAAAGATCGAACCTAGACTTTGATTTTCGTTAATAGAAACTTGAACCTAAGAAATAACGTTAAGTAAACTGCTAGTTGTGCGGTATTAAGGACATTGTGAAGGAGGTGATTGGTAAGAAAGACGAAAGCAAAGTGAGACCGAAAGCGAGTGTCAGAGCTTATAAATAAACTAAGCTAACAAACCGCCTACTAGAATTAAGTACTGAGTGACTTATTAATCTCCACGACAATATGTAAGATATACGTAGCATTGGGTACATATTTATCTTTTAGGAATCATTGAGAACTGATTCATTTCCAGGTTCTTATTATACTTATGTACTATTTTTTTTCTATTAAGGCTACATATATCATAATGTTTAGCTTTACACAGTCACAAGGCATGCCCGAGCAAAAGGTGCATGCCCCTAGTTAAACATTTGAGCAAGCCTAAACATTTTGCCATGCTCCTCACTCTAATTCTGGAGTACAGAGGCTATACATTTGGATTAACGATAGAAGAAAAACAGTTAGTATCTGCAAAATGGCGATATGCATAACAATACATTATTGTTATATACATCGCCATTTTGCAGACACTAACTGGGGTTTTTTTTTAGTTGATCTGAATGTATAGCCAATGAATACTGTATACAAATAAAGTTTAAGTAACTATCATTAAATAAGAATGACGTAAGAGCAAATTTAAGTATATATAGAAGGCTCTTTTGTAAGACTTAATGCCAATAATGAACTGACATATTTGCACTTGGCAGTGGATTGGTTGTCATATTATCCATACCTTTAGGCTTGCTGTCAAAACAATTAAAACTTCACGTTCTCTTGATAATAGCGGCATTAGTATGAGAAATTAAAATAAATTTATTGTTATATAGACAATATAATATTGAAGAATGTGTTTTTTTTACCTTATAATTCTTGCTAATTATCTTATTCAAGGTTATTCTAACCTGTCCTGTATAGTGTATTTTGAGAAAAAAATCTTCTCCTAATATCGTTTAAACTTTTTTTTCATATTGATACATTGTTACGTAAAGTCAAATTCTGTCAATGACATTACTATTAGGGTATTTAAATAACATTTACAATAATAATTTTTATTTGACTTATCAAAATTATCTTAATCATATGACACATTTTCCTGAAAGAGCTTTTCTTGACATTACCTGAAATTTTTTTTTATATAATAAAATAGTGGCATTAAAATAATAGGTTAACCTAATTCTGGCTATTTATTTAATTTAAGGATAGTTTAGGTACGCCTAACTGTGCAATATGTATGCTATGTGTAGTAAAAAAAAAAAAAATACATATATATCCACTTTATGTGCAATTTTTTTTTTACTTTTTGACAAAAAAAATTTTGACATGTCTCAAAGTAATAAACAAAAATCCAAAGTGCTTGTACCACCTGTTGAAAGACAAGAATCAATGAGTTCTTCAACATCTGAATCATACGAAACAAACATATTTAGTAAAGAAAGTTCTAAAAGCACTGAAGGCACTAGGGAGTATAGCAGTTCTGAAAATACTAAAGGTATTGGAAATGCTAGTAGTCATGGAGGACGAGGTATATCACCTGTTTGGTTGTTTTTTGAATGAGGAAAATCTAGTTCAGCTGGACATTATTCAGCAAAATGTTCATATTGTGCATCTAAATAGGCAAGAGGTGAGCCACAAAAACTTGAGGCTCATCTTGCACTTGAATGTGCTTATGTAGATGATGAAGTTCGGCAAATATATTTACTTCGTGTATCTAACCATGATCAGTCAGATGAAGCAGAATCTGATATTCAAATAGTTTTAAAAAAACAAAAAATAAACAAGCAGTCTAGTATTTCAAAGTTTTTTCCACAATCAGGAGGTGGTTTATCTGAAGCACGAATAAATGCTATAAATAGCTCATTGTTAAAGGCCTTTGTAGTTTGTGGCATTCCATTTTCAGTGGTTGAAAATCCATTTTTTATCGACCTTCTTCAAAATTTGTGTCCAAACTATCAACTACCATCAAAAGAAGTATTAGCAGGTCGATTATTAGACCAAGAGCACTCTAAAATTATAGTAAAGCGAGAAGCTATATTTCAAGAATCAAAAAATTTAACTATAGGTATATATATATTTAATAATACTATATTAAATAGTATAATTTGAATTATACTATTCAATATAAATTTTTAAATTTTATTAGTTAGGCCGTTCGAAGTTGATTCTTTAGTTAACATCATCTCCCAGCTAAAGTCTCCTCCTGAAAAATAAACAACTATTGAAAACGCTAGATAACTCTTACCAATTACTTGATTTATATCGACCAATTAAATTGACACATATTTATTCATTTCATATGTTCATTTCATTTTATCCTCTCTCTTAAGAATTCTAAAAGTGATGTTAACCAAAAATTCAACTGCAAGTGGCCTTAATAATAATAATATTATTTTATAATTTAATACTTAAATTATTGTTATTGTAGCACTTGATGGGTGGACATCATCTAATGGAAGCTCAATTTATAGTTTTATTATTTTAACACCAATGCATAATAAGTTTTTATATTCATTATATGATTTTTCTTTAAACTCACATACTTCAGAATTTCTTTCAAACAAAATTAATAATGTTATAAGTGAAATTGGTGATGATAAATTTGCAGCAATTGTGACTGATAATGCCAACAATATGAAACTTGCTCGTCAAATTGTTCATAAAACATATCTAAAAATTTTAAATTTAAATTGTATTGCGCATTGTATTAATCTTATATCTAAAGATATTCTTAGTAAGTATTGAAGTATATAGTATATTTAATTATTATAGAATTAATATAAATTTTTATTTAGAGCATACATTTGGTCTACGTCTTATAAAAGATTGCAATGAAATTATAAAATATTTCAAAAAATCACATCAGCCAAATGCATATTTACAACAAGCAATTAATGAATTAAAAATCTCTGGAGGAGGGTTAAAAAAATTTATTGATACAAGATGGACCTCTGCATATGAATGTACTTTATCTGTTAATCGACTTGAACGTGCATTTGTTAAAGTAAGATATTATATTTTGTTAATATTTTTAAAATTTAAACTAACCTTTATTAAAATTAATATAGATTATGAATGAACATCCGGAATTAATTACAAATCGTAATATCAAACAGATTTTAAGGGGATTATACTTTTTTTCTGATCTTAAAGCTTTAATTAAGGTTTTAGCTCCCATTCAATTAATAATTACAAATTTAGAAGCCTGATCAACAACCTTAGCAGATTGCTTTGTACAATTTGTTCGGTTAGCAGCTTCTATTAAAAAAATTTCAGGCTTTCGAATCAATTCATTTAAAAATTATTGCATACAAGTTATTAATAGAAGATGGAGAAATTTTGATAGTGATATTTATATATTGGCTTACTTTCTTCATCCAGGATATCGTGGTAAATAATTATATTAAATTTGTTAATTAAAATAATTTAAAAAATAATAAATTAATTATATTAATATAATATTTTATTAGGTGCTAGGTTGCGAGAACAACATTTTCAAGTTGTTGCAGAAACAGCAATTAAATTATGGCAAGAAGAAGGAAAAGATCAATACGAATGTGCAGATCTTGTAGCATATATGCGACGATTTTTAGAAAAAGATGAAGGATTTAAATTACCTTATAGTTTTGAAAATGATACTCCTCTATTATGGTGGTCAACTAACTTTGTTGGATCAAAATCAATCGGAAAACTTGCTACCAAAGTATTTTCAATTACCCCTCATTCTGCTGATTGTGAAAGAACTTTTTCAGCATTAGGTTGGCTTTATGGAAAACGGTGGCAAAGGCTTTCTCTGTCCCGAATTCAAGCTATGGCTCAAGTTCGGTCCTTTTGTATTTCTAATATAAAAAAAGAGCTAGCTTATTTTGGTAAAACATTATCACCTGATGACTTACACGAACAAATAAAGTTTGCAACATTTTTGGCAGATGATGATGACGAAATAGCTGAAGATTCTGAAATAGAGGAAGAAGAGTCTGAGTATAATTTTAATGTTATTGAACGATTTGATCTTGATAATATTGTGTTCTTAAATGATGAAATTTTTCAAGATAATGAGTCAGATGAAAATTCACAAATTGATGATGAGTTCGATGAAATTGAGCACGATGAATTGACATCTAGTGATGTAGAAAGACGTGGTGTTTATGAATTTGATTCTTCAAAATTAGCAGCAGATTTGGTACGAGGGTGGGGTCATGAAGATTATGAAAGTGTTAATGTTAGTATAAATAGCATAGCAAATGAAGTAAGCAAAAATATTAGTGAAAATGTAAATAACATAGAAGGTGAAGATAGTGTTTTAGAAACTTTACCTATAGCACTTCGTAAAACTTGTCGTCAAAGTAAAAAATAAATTTTTTAGTAAATAAATTTTGTTGTTTTATAATTATAATAGTTTCGTCGATTTTGGGTCAAAATCCAAAACAACATTATCGAAAGAACGTAATACTGACTAAATTGGCCAGAATCATAGCTAGTGCCAGCTAACTTTGTCAGTATTATGTTCTTTCGGGGATCTGTTTTTCGGATTTTGACCCAAATTTAGTTTCGTCTATAGTCACGTCAATCGTCAACAGTTACGTCAATCGTCGTTAATTACGTCGTATCGTCAGGTTTCGTCAGACGAAACCATTGACGAAACTATTTCGTCAGGGCAAATTAGTTTCGTCAGGCATCATTAATTCATTACTTCCCCGTTCCTGGTTTCGCGCAACGCAGTTGCGCAGCTACTTATTCTATTAAATTGGCAAACTTATAATAATAATAATAAAAATGATTACAATACATGTCGTTCATCGAGTTCAGGCAATGTGACAAGGCCAAACTCTAATATGGCCGAAGCCCCCTATTTATTTAAATAAAATTTGCATTTCAATATTTATGTCTCTTTAAAATGACAAGCTTTCACTTTTTTATTTATATAATTTCACTTGCCTGTGTTCAAGAAAGGCGGAGGATCAAAAGCTAATAAAGTCGAATTTCACTGAAATTTGCAAACTTCTCATATGTTATAACCGGAATAAATTTAATGATTATTTTTTAACCAATCAAATATTTCTGGTCTGACCCGCAGGTCATGCTGAACACTAGTTTCAATTATATGATAAAATTTTAGATGTGACAAGCCGGGTGCCTGCTAACCTTAAAATAATTTCTTTATGCTAACAATTGGATGATGAATATACGTAATGTGAGGTACGATCTACAAAATTGCAGATATCCCTATCCAATCATTAACTTTCGGGGAATATGTTAACCCATTTGGTCTAAGTAATTCCGATTTAATTTAGGTCGAGACTTGAGATTAGTACATTCGTGGCGTCCATAATTTAAACTTAGCATAATTCTTATGATCCGCGGGATAACGGAAATTCCGCCCGCCATTATCAAATAATATTCGAGTTTAGTTACAATCATGCTTACTTCAAGGGTAATAACCTATTAAAATAATATCAAATTATAAATAATAGATACCAACTTGTATAATATATACATTTAGTTGTAATAATGAGATTTAAAAATAGAAGTTGTGATAGCGAACAGAAATAAATCATGACGAATCGTATTTTTAAAAATCGCCTTTATTTAATTCTGTGTGAATCAAATTGAGGATAGATTTTTATCTCTCCCGTTAAATTTTTTGTGTCATTAGTAGTGCATCAAAAATTAGATTTCGGATTATCCGATTATTCGAATAAACAGATTAAATCGCCGGGTTGCATATTTCTGTTCCCATTTTGCCTAGTAAAGATTTTTGAATTTGTTGAAAATATGTTGAATTTTGCTTATAAATATGAGCCACGATTTATAAACATCTTCAAACCCTTATCATCATCTAAGTTGCGAACAATAATATACCAATCATTCTGATCCCGAGCAAAATCTGCAAAAAATGATCGAAATCTTACTAGAAAACGTAACATTAATCGTAGGATTAATTTTGGTATTAGTTTATTGGCAACTACCAAGACGAGCCAAATTAGTAAGTTTTTCCAATGCTGGTATTGATTTCATAATTATGTTATTAATATAAAGACTAACTTTCTTAGAATGAACCACCACTCGCTTATTATCGATTTCCAATTATTGGACATACATGGAGATATTTAACGGATTGCGAAGGATTGATTTTAGAATCTCGGCAAAAGGTTACTTTTTTTTTTTTATTAAAAAAAAATCTTTTTTTTTTTTTTTGTTATATTCTAATACTGTAATTTGTTTTTCTTAACAGTATGGCGAGACATTTTCGATATACATATTCGGCCAATTAATGACTGTAGTCGGAAAAGAAACGTCTCACGAAGTATTAAAAAAAGATAAAGATTTTGATTTTAACGAAGGAACTAAATTTGTAATTAAAATTTTTTTAACAAATTTAGTAATTTTTCATATTTAACTATATTTTAATTAAAATTTTTTTAATTAAAATAGCAACTTCCTTTGGATTATATATTCCCTCATATGAGCACGACTAATAATAAAACAGTTGAAGTAGTGAAAGACTTTGCCAAAGGAAAATTAAAGGATATGTTGAGTAGATTACAACAAAATCTTACTAAAGCTATGGATATTTATATTGGTGAATGTATTGGTAAGTTTTTGAGATTTTAATAATAAAATTAGAGAATAAAATTTTATAGATACTTAAGGAAATTTTATTTATTATAGAACCGAAGGTTATTCATAACATAGAAAGTGTTTTATCAAATATTGTTTCAATTCCAATTGCTAACATTGTTGTTGGTGAAGTATGTATTTTTTTTTTTTTTTTTGCATAAATTTCTTTTCGTTATTAATTTAATTACTCTTCTAATAAAATATTAGGAATGTTACCATTTCGGAGATATTTTAGAAACTTTTAGACAGTTAACAAATTCAATTGCAAAAATTTCTTTCGTACCACCAATATTAGCTTTTATACATCCCTGGCTTCATCAACAATTTGTGACGTAAGTTTTTAATTTAAAATTCAATTACTTCACATTGGAGTCCACACGTGCCTGATTGCTAGCTCACGTGCCCTGAGATTTATTTACGATAATATATCGTTTATGTTAAATGACCTATGCTTGAAATATTTGTCGGTTAAGTGAATGCAAACACTTTATAATAATGATTTTGATAGATTTTTACTATGTTTTAAAATTTTAATCCCGGTATGATTCGTACAGCCCTATAACTTTAACATAACTTATTTATTTATTATTTTTTATATAATAGGTTGCCTTTAAGATTTGGCTGGAATCCTATAGCAAAACATAGAAATATAATTATCAATCGAATTAGACCAGTCATCGAGAAACGTCTTAAAGAAAAAAAGGAATTAGGTGACGCTTGGGTTGCTCCCGTAAGTTATTTAATAATGAAAATTTTAATTATTATAATGTGATTAATTTATATATTCTAAGATATATAATTTTGATTTTTTTTTTAGTTAGATGCACTACAAGTTTATTTAAACGATCCAGCAGTAGCTCCAGATCTCGATCCAAATCATGTGAATTATGTTTTAATTGCCGACTCTATTGGTTTAATTGTTTTTGCAGCAATGTCAACGACGTCCCATAGCGCGTCTTACGTTCTATATAGTTAGTTATATTCTTTTATTTTATTTTATTTTTTTTTTTTTGCATTATAAAGTTATTCTAGTTTTAAGTATTAATATATTTTATTTGTCAATTAGATTTGGCGGGAAGGGAAGAATACTGGCAAGAACTATATGAGGAGGCTCAGGAAATTAATAAACAGTGCAATGAAAACGAGCTTACATCTGATGATATTGCTAAAATGGTGAAATTGGATAGTTTTGTTAAAGAATCTTTAAGATTAGCCATTAATATAATTTCTTTGTCACATAAATGTATTTCTAAATCTCATTATACGTTTGAGAATGGATATCAAATCCCAAGTGGTAATTTTTTTCTGAATCATTATGTTTTTTATTTTGTCTATAAGTTATAATATCTCACGCCTCTTACTGATTATTTAAAATCATAGGTCGCATAGCTATATTAAATTATGTGGACACAATTAACGATGAAGGTCTTCAAGGTCACAATCCCTCAGAATTCTATGCATATCGCCATCTTGAACGTAATTCTTCCGCAACAAAAGTCGAACGAAGTTTTTTGACATTTGGAGGTGGAAAACATGCGTGTCCTGGTAGATTTTTAGCTGTTAATGAGATTAAGATGATTGTGCACAAAATTATATTAAAATATCATATTAGAACTGAATCTGGGAAAGTAATGCCATATAGATATGCTGGAGCTAATCTTATGAAGGATATGAAAGATGGTATTATATTTGAAAAAAGAAAAATGTTATAAATTAAAGCTATAAATATTTATGTAATTAGTATTGAATATTGAGTACTTCAGTTTAACATGTTTTTTTTTATTTCTCTATTATTTATTTGTTTGTAAATAGAATAACTATCCCTTAAACCGTCCTGAAAGTTCGGATTACACACCATTCACATGTTGTGCAACATAAGTCACCCCAAAATATACAGTGTTAATGTTATGCGTCATTTTTCAATTTACGTCGTTTTCAATCGGTATGAATTTTGCGGATTAAAAAAAAAGTAGCCAGAAAAATTTATTATATTAAATATTTAAATTCTAATTTAGCTACGAACATAAAATGTGATCATGTTATGCGTCATTTTTCAATTTGCGTCGATTATTAATTGACGCCTGTCATTTTTCAATTTTCACCGATTGATAAA